AGGAGATGATAAGGAGCGAAGGAAAAGAAGCCCCAGCCCAAAACCAACTAAAGTTCACTTAGGGCGGCTGACCAGGAATGTCACCAAGGTCAGCTGAGAGATTGTTGAGATTTTTATAGGAGAACACATGATAAAACATGATTTAAGGTCATAGCTCTACCTCAGAAACATCACATAAGATAGACAAGGACACCGCATTCATAATCTCTAGGACCAAAACGGAATTGTGGAAAGTGTTTTGCTTTCACTTACTATGAAGTAAAGGTTGATTGCTCAATTCTGTCTGTCACTGGGTACAATCTTCTTGAAAAAAGGAGACTCGATTTTTTTTTTTACATCAACAACATTCCTCCAGAGATAACCAAATGGTTCTAATAAGCATACTGTATTTCCTCTTTGCACAGGACCACATCCAGGAGATCTTTTCCACTTATGGAAAAATCAAAATGGTTGAAATGCCAATGGACAGAGTCCACCCACACCTGTCCAGGGGCTACGCTTACGTGGAGTTTGAGAGTCCTGAGGAGGCCCAGAAGGCCCTGAAACACATGGACGGAGGTAGGCCAGCATGTGTCCTTCACTGCCTCTGTCACACCATTACTCTAGGCACACTGGTTGAATAAATCTCTGTGATGACTGTTATTGACAGGTCAGATTGATGGACAAGAAATCACTGCATCTGCCGTGCTAACTCAGCGAGTGCGTCCTCCACCTCGCAGACCTTCTCCTCCTCGCAGAATGCCTCCACCACAACATATGTGGCGTCGCAGTCCACCACGCATGAGGAGAAGGTACGTTGGATGATTTCAATCAGTCCATCTACATTTGACTTTCACACGATCATGTGAACGCATATATACAGTTGCAATCAAAATTATTCAACCCCCATTGCATATTAGGCTTATTGGCAAAATGTACAATTTTTCAGCTGTTTGCAATAAACAAAGTAGACAAGAACAGTTGAAATAGTTTAATAAAACTAATATTACCATGGTTTTTATCCAAATTCAACACAAAGTGCTACTTTTAACCACTACTGCAGTCTCAAAATTATTCAACCCCCTGTTTCAAGCACACCTGGTGCAACTAATCAAGGGCTTCATTAGTTCAGGTGTGCTTGAGATAGAACACATAAATACCTGGACTGGCTAGGGGTTTGTTGAGAGTGACGTTTGATTGCATGTTAGAAATATGGCTAAGTCAAAAGAATTGTCCAGAAAGTTCAGAGAAGAAATCATTGCCTTGCACAAACAAGGAAAAAGATACAAAAAGATAGCAAAAGCTCTGAATGTTCTTAGAGATACAGTTGGAATAGTTCAGAAGTTCAAAGTTAAAGGAACAGTGGCTACACTACCTGGACGTGGCAGAAAGAGGAAACTGTCAGCAGCTGCCAGCAGATTCCTGAGGAGGCAAGTAGTCAAAAGCCCTCGAGTGACTGCAAAACACCTGCAGCAAGACTTGGTGGCAGCAGGCACTGAGGTTTCAGTTTGTACAATAAGGCGCATACTAAACACTGAAGGGCTCCATGCCCGGACTCCAAGACGTACACCACTACTGACCCAAAAGCACAAGAAAAGTCGGCTCCATTATGCTCAAAACCATATAAATAAGCCACAGAAGTTTTGAAATTCTGTTCTGTGGAGCGATGAAACAAAACTGGAACTCTTCGGCCTATGGAACAGCGGTATGTCTGGAGGAAGAAGAATGAAGCATATGCTGAAAAGAACACCCTGCCTACAGTGAAGCATGGCGGTGGCTCAGTGATGCTCTGGAGCTGCTTTGCTGCCTCTGGCACTGGAAACCTGCAGCATGTGGAGGGCACGATGGATTCAGTCAAGTATCAGGAAATCTTAGGTGAAAACGTCATGCTGTCTGTGAGGAAGCTGAAGCTTGGCCGTCATTGGACCTTCCAACAGGATAATGATCCAAAGCATACCTCAAAGTCCACCAAGGCTTGGTTTCAGAAGAAGAAATGGAAGATTCTAGAGTGGCCGTCACAGTCGCCTGACTTGAACCCCATAGAAAATCTCTGGTGGGATTTGAAGAAGGCGGTTGCAAAACGCACACCCAAGAATATTACTGAACTGGAGGCCATTGCCCATGAGGAATGGGCTAAGATTCCTCAGGAACGCTGTCTGAAGCTGGTGTCTGGCTATGCATCACGTTTGCAGCAGGTCATAACAGCAAAAGGGTGCTCTACTAAGTACTGAAGATGCTTGTCATGAAGGGGTTGAATAATTTTGAGACTGCAGTAGTCATTAAAAGTAGCATTTTGTGTTGAATTTGGATCAAAACCCTTGTAATATTAGTTTCATTGAACTACTTAAACAGTT